ATAGTATTCTACAGATTGCAGTATGATAGATTATCTAAATATGAAATTGAAACTTTCATACAGGATCTAAAGTCTATGCAACAATAAAATTTTATGGAGCCAATTAGAATTCAATTGCAAAAACCTTCCAAAAATAAAAATTTTCACAATACAAATCCATCCATAAATAAATAAATAAATAAATAAAAAAGAATCAACCAGTCTTCAGTTTTTCATACATATGCACAAGTTCTTAGGACTGATAGTCCACATTATCAACATATGGCTGAATAACCATATAACTTTCTTCATTAAATAACTGTGCTATTTTCTGATACACAATGGCATTTCAGCATTTTTAACTATAGAAGGTATTTTCTCATTAATTGTGTGCCCAGTTTTAACATTCATGTTTAAGGCTTATTCTTCTTGAAGAAATAGACTTGCATGTACACATACAACATGTGTTGGAGCATAAATATATTAACATGCTTTATATTTAGATGTCACTTTGATGAACGTTTACTGTAAAAAAAAAATAAATATGCAATACAGAGTTTTGTTTTTTGGAAAAAAATTTCCTGTTTCATACAAAATGCTTAATTATTATTTATAAACAGAACAATACTTAATAGCCCTAAAGATAACCACAAATATTTTTTGTCAATGACTTAGCCATTTTTAATAGGCAGCATTTATAATCAGAAAGTACCTTACAAAATAACATAAAAATAAAAACCATACATAAAATGCTCAAGATGTTATGTATTTTAAGATGCTTGTACAAGTTGGCATATGTTATGACCATATTAAAGTTTAAAATGCTAACAAATACGAAAAGTATCATAAAAATGACAGCACTACATTATTAAGCTATTAAAAGACTTCAATTAAAAGTTCCCGAAATTTAAAAAGGAATATAATTAAAAGATGCATTACAATTTTTTTTTTTTCTATTTCTATTTGCAAACTGGAAGAAAAGACAAAATTATTACTATATACTACTATTATCTTAGACTTGTTAAAAATAGACAAAAAATTAAGATGATATAAATAAAATATTATATAGAATTTAATTTTATGTCACTCAGCTTAATGATGTATAACAACACACATTTAAAACAGATAATAATAATAATACACTCAGATCAATAAGTTGGGACATTCTAAGATGGATTACATGGGCAACTTCCATAGGTCCTTATATATATATATATATATATATAATATATACTATAAGTTATACTTTTCAAAACAAATTTAAATGTGACCAATTCAAAAAGAAATTCAGTGACCAAAATGAGGTAAAATGGAAGATGTAAGTGAGATCTGATTGCTCAAATCTGTACAATTTAAAAATAAAACGCTCATACAATCACTGTAACACATAACTAAACAAGTATAAAATTTAAGTGAAAACATCACTTGTGTTATTTGAGATGAAATTTATTAACATGATATCACTTGTATTTTTTTAATTGACAAATTATTTAATATTAAGAAAATACAGCAAAACTCCAGACTAACTTAAATACCTCACCTACATATTAAAAAAAAAAACTGGATTCTTGGATTTCTTTTTCCTAAATGCCAGGGATATAATCACAACATTAAAATTGCTGCCCAGATGGTACACTGGTTAGGAGAACCTACTGCGGTACTAAAGGGCTCAGGTTCGTATCCCGGAAAGGCATGATTGTAACTGTACATCCTTTCATAAAAGGCAATGGTGGTCACCAATTAGTGTCTCCACAATAAAATGGCCACCATTTCTGGCCTTAGGGGGGGCCATCAATGGATTTAAAAAAAAGTATTAAAATTTAAATCAGTTTTACTTTTATTGCAATAAAATTCAGAACTCTTCATTTAAATTTTAGTAGTGTAATTACTATTTAACATAATAAGAATGCAAAATGCAATATTTGCATTGCAATAATTTAAATAAAAGATGTGAAAATAACTGTATATTTTAATCATCTAATCTATGCAAAACACAAGGGCTTGCCCCCAGTTTTGACAGACACCATCTCAGATGATTCTCTTTCCTAGCATCAACCTCTTAAAAATTTTTTGCTCATCAGAATTTAAATGCCCCCATGCTTTAACCATTTGTTTTAAGTTTATACATTAGTATCAAGTTGGTCAGAATTAACTTTCGTTGAATGAACAGTAATACATAATATGGAAGATTATGAAGTTAATTGACTTAATATAGGATTAGCATGATTCTTTGTTGTGATGGCTGAGAGCAGATATATGATTGGAATATTAGAATAGTTACAAATGTCCTGGCCTTACTACAGAGCCCAATTCAATGGTGTAGAAACCTGCTAACCACCACAAAGTGGAGGGGGTTATCATTTTAGTTAATAAATATTATTTTATGAAACTGACCTATATGAAAAACATGCAAGATGTTCTATCAAAAGGAACAAAAATGCATTTTATCATAATGTCCAATAAAATATTGTCAGTGAAAAATGAGCATCTTTTCTGCCAAGATATAAGATGAACTAATACAGGACTTATCTTCTAATTTTTATCTGTCTCAAATGAAAATATTTAAGAAGAGTCAATGAGATTTAAGAGAGTATGTAGATTCGATGAAGCAAACTAAAACAAATCCCATCTGTTTGTAAAAAAATCTCAGTGCCATTTTTTGATACATTTTTTTGTAAAAGCAAATTCCAACTTAAACATAGCCACACAGAAAAAAATTAAAAAATTATTTATGAAGTTAAAATACTTCTTTAAAAGAACTGATGAGCAATGCTTAACATAAAAAGAAAAAATCACAAAACTCTTAATTTATATATTTATGTATTTACATTGATACACCTATCATTATATACTGTCATCTCCACAACAAAGCCAGGATTTACATAAATCACTTACTTCCAGAAATGCATGTTGAAAGTTTGGTACAAGCTTCATTTTGGGGGGGGGGAAATTCCAGTTATGAGTTTTTCTGATATTTTAGCCACAATATAACCACAATAACTGCTTGGCTCTTGGCAGATCCCCAAATCAAACAAAGCCATTACTTCCTAATGCACAGTTCTGTTATTCTAAATTCATTTTTTCACCACAATTATTTGTGGGAAAATTTTGACAATGCAGAATTTGACATTTGTAATAATATATTTATTTAGTTTTGTTCATAAAGAATGTTGAAAATTCCAACTACTTATTCATCACATCAAAATCAAAGACTGCCTGTAGCTCATCATAAATATACCCACTACATACAAATAATTTTACGCAAGGTGCTCTTATCATTCGTTAAGTCTACACAATTTCCAAACTTTACCAATTAAACTCAGAGTATAGCAACTAGTAAATAAGTCAATTTAAATTTACTGCAATTGTGCTTGATTATAAACAGCAGCAGGTCCTTCAATAAAAGATATAAACATTTGGCAAACTATTTATTTGGCAACAGTTACAAAAGCAATAATCAGTAGATATAATAATAATCAGTTTGCTTCAATATTGAATTATGGAAACCAATACTGTTCAAATGACACCAAAAGTCCAAACCCAGTTAAAACTCAAGAGTACACCAACTGAAACACAGGTTTAATAAACAGTTAAACAGGTCCAGATAGAAGCTGGCTAGTGTAATGGCTTTGCAGTTAACTCCTTGACAGTACAAAGCAGAATATTTATTAAAATAACATTAAAGCATATAATTTAACTTGGAGCAGAACATCACTCCTACAATAGAGAATCTGGGAGAGCCTCGCTCCTCCATGCCAGACATTCAACTCACCTAAATCAAGAAACCTCTAGGGAAAACAGGCAAAACGAGCAAAGTAGGCCTTGTTGATTGAAAAATAATTTTTAGGCCTGGTCACCAAAAAATTCACGCATGGTTATACTGGCATAGTCAATGGTTATACTGGCATAGTCCTGCCACACTAAGTGTGCAGATTCACTCAAACTTTTAGGGAAAAACTTGGGGGGGGCAGTCCAAGGGTCCCTGCTCCTCTTCCCCTACCACAAAACTCTGATTTGGCTTGCCGAGCATTTTGAGTGTACCCTTACTGTGCAGATACAGTCAAAAGTTGTTAATCCGGACTTGCCAGGACTTCGGCGATTCCGGATTATCGATTTTTCTGGATTATAGATCATCAGTTTAAATCTGGTAAGATGGCATGCAGAAATTATAAAATTAAAAATATGAAACCGTAATTTATGAAATAAAGAACAATTATGATCTAAAGGGTATCAAAATTTACAAAAAAAAAAAAAAAAAAAAAAAAGAGCTTAATATTTATTTGTTTACTTTATTAAACATTTCTTTCAATTTAAGTTGTTTAAGTTGCTTCATTTTTTATGTGATAATACATTCTCTTTAATTCTTTAAACAGACATAATTTCTTGTTCAGTTACAAAGTTCCGCTCCTATAATTGCTGTGTTGAGAATACCGACTAATTTGTCAATTGAAATTTTTTTGTTTTCAATAACCTCTGTCACTTTCTTCGCTTTCAGAAGCGAATTATAATGACGAGGAATTTAATTTAAATCATATCAAAGATGGAGTACATTGAGATGAAATACTACATTTAATAAGGAATTATAAGCCAAATAAAATAAAAACATCTGCCCTGAAGATAAGGATAGTGCTGACAGATGAACTTCTAATTCATTGCGCGGTGCCACCGCATTAAAGATAAACAAACGTTAAAGTTTAGATAAACAAAGGATAAGCCTTTATCCATTTTTTGCAGCAATTCCACTTTTTGTTTAATGGACTCCGAAACATACTTTCGCTTTGTAGATCATTTACATAATAATAAATATATATCAGAAATTCTATTTGACATAATCGAAAGTTCAAGCTTACTTTTATAAAATTGCTCTAACAGTCTGCAAAAAATAATAAGCCGAATCCAATTGAAGATTAAAACAATGCAATCTGCAACATTAACTGAAATAGATAATTAAATCATTTTTGCTTAGCTTATACAGTCCGTTATACATTAAACGCGCACTTGTAAACGTATTTTGCGCACGCGCACAAGCATATTCTCAGCCGTAAAGGCCTTACGCGCATGCGTCAAAGCGACGCATGCGCAGAAAGTTTGAAGTTTTGATGTCCGGATTATGGGTGTCCAAATTAACGACTTTTGACCGTACTACACACTTACAAATACCCATACCTTCTTCGGGATTTGAACTAGGGCCCACCATTACGGTAGTCAGCGTCACTGCTTTAACTCAATTTCTTCACTTCAGAACAATTTTCCCGGGAAAAAGCAGTAAAAAGCACCTCCCACCATTGGCATTTCCCTTACATCCAATTTTTAGTTTAAAATTTTGCAGTCTTAGAAATTTGCAGTTTGCTGAATTCATTAGCATAATTTATATGTGCATTTTTCAGCAACACTTTGTCTTGTTATCGGCTAATTTTCCTGAAGTTGCACGGAATTTAAGTCTTCTACTCTATTATTATTAAAGTGCTACACTTGATCTGCATTTAAAAAAATCAACTGAACAATAATTCTCCATTTAAAGAAATTAATTTTTTTCAAATATTAGTCCTTTAATTAAAATACTTCAAAATGTACAAACTTCAAATAAAAAAATAAACTAACTTTAAAATTAATAGTTTAAAATCTCATATTTTCACAATACATTTCTTTTCAGAACGTATACATCAATTTCAGATGTCTTAAAACACAATTATGTAAAGGCCTCTCAAGATTAAAATTTATGAAAAGCTGCCTAATCTGTCATAACAGAGGCAATGTAGGACGCATGAAGAAATATCAATCACTTAAAAACATGAAACAAAAATAATGACGATATTGTCATCCATATTTTCATGTGAATCTTGAAGAAGCAAAATATTGATATTTAAAATGGATGGCAAGAACCTGATTTCCACATGCAAGAAAAAAGTGTAATAATTTCTTTTACAAAACTTAGCATTAATTATACTGTATTTATGAATTTTCATCAGTTTTTCTAACTATGGTTCACAATAATAACCTTCTATATAATATACAATGAACATTAGTTTCTGAGAGGCTGGTTTTTAGAACTTTTAAATGTTACAAACAAATGCAAAAATAAAGGGGTGTCTCAGTAGAAAATTATCAACATTTGGCAAGAAAAATTTTCATATAATCATACAAAGAAATAAAGCTAACTTGTTTCAAATAAGTCACACTAGCATCGATTTGATTACCTTTTTCAACAAAAGATTTTAACTTATAGTATTACTATGCAGAAAAATGCATTTAGAGTATATTTCTGAACTACTACAAATATCATTTTGCCTGACAGCAATAACAGCATTTTGAGCTTCTCCAACAAGTTTGGTTGTTATAGGAGACACTATTAATAACAAAGATTTGATTTACTAACTCTCACGGAAGACTCCATTAAACAGAGACAGAGAGAGAGTAAACTTTTAAAAAGTCAATTTCACAAAGTTCCTACTTTAACAAGATAAATCTTTGTTAACACAGCATGCAACATTTGGAAGCTAGTTTCATATCGACAACTGCTTGCTGGCTTCCCCTACTCTTCCCACTTCCAGACAAATCCTTTTTCCTTTCATTTTTACGCCAGCCATTCTGATTGATGTCAAGACGCTGTCTATTAGATGAACGACTTCCAGAATGAACTAGACGTCCTAATGTAGAAACTCGTCCATTTTTATCAGAAATCTTATCTGGCTGTGAAGAGTGGAGGTCACCTTTGAGATTCAACTTATGCCTCTGCAGAGAGCTAAGACCACTGTTTAAACTGAGGCTATTTCCAATAGAAGATGTATACCTATTAAGAGTACTATCTACACACGATTTATGACGGGGCTTTTCCTCTACAATTTCATCTGATGATAATTGTGGAATCTCTGTTAGTGAAATGCTGTCTGATCTGACTATAATGGATCTATCATGAGAAACAAACTGGCCAGTATCAGCAGACAAGTCTCCACAACTCATAGAGTTTGTTAAGCGAGGCTGATCATCAGATAAAAAATCTAAGCTATCAGTGCTTTCAGTAGAAAACACAGAATGTGCAAAAGCAGTTTTCTTAATTTGTTGGCCCTTACAGATATCAGAACTGTTACATTCTTTTATTTCAAGGGACTCATCTTTGGAATTAAAATTTGGTTTTGGATAAACACATTTTAAATCCTTGTCCCCTAAATTATCTTTACTTCCATCCTCACTGGACGTATTTGATTTCTTGTCACCAGTTTCAACCGAATCAGAATTTTTACTAGACTTTTCAGTTTTGTGATGCTGTTCCATTATTTTTATCATAACGTGTGAAATTACAGAACTACGAGATTGCAATTTGCCAACATATTTTTTCCTAGCTGCCGCAAGTCGCAAAGTCCTTTCAGAATCTTTATCTTCATTAATTTCATTTAAAGGTAACTGAGGTGAGCTTTGAACAGAATGAAGCCTACGACTGTGACCTGCACTTTTGCGTCGAGACGTCGATTCTAAACACGTCGCAGAAAGTTTTGAAACTCTGTTATCAACTGGAGGAAGTAAAACAGAACGATTAGTTACAGGCAAAGAAAATGATGGTCTAGCTACAGGAGAATTCTTTTCTATATTTGTGCAATTATTTGAGGCTTCATTTCCATCTTCTTCTAGTTTTGCAAGCTGCTCCTTTAAACTTTTACTATCATTAGATGGAGATTTAGCTGGTGAAGAAGCACCACTGGCAGTGCTACCTGCATCGTCTTCCTCTCTCACAATACTACACTTTCGTTGCAAAGGTACACCTGGAGAAATGGCATAAGTTTCTGCAGGAAAACGTGGCGAAACGTCAACTAGACCAAATCGAGGAGTAAAGTCATGAACTTGAAGAGTCTTGGACGGGATGCAAGGTGAAAGAAGCCCTTCCACTGAAGCATTTGGTTTTTCTTGAGCAGGTGAAGGAACGGCTGAAGATACACTAATGAAAGTGGAAAAACATAATTATGTTCATGTTATAACGAAACAAAAATATAATAAACAGAATTCAAACTTTAAATGAAAAAAAACTTCGGTAAAAAACCTTGGTGTCAGTGCTACTGGAGAAAGATCAGTTCTGGAAATACGACTATTGATCATTTGGGCTCTTTCTTGACGCTGGGCACGAAGTTTTCGTTCAGCTAAGAGAAAATATGTTGCGGTGATGTGGTTATATTCATTTTTATCAAGAGCTCTGAAAAAGGAAATAAAATATTTACTCCTATAATTATAGATATATATATATAAAATTTAAAACAAATTAAATAATTTAACAAATACGTATAAAAGTAAAAAAGCAAATTTAAATCCTAAAAAAAGGAAAAAAAGCCAAAATAATTTTTAAAAAAATGTGCAAACATATAAAAGATTTAATACTCGAACTAATCTACAATATCATTTAAATTCAGAAGCATAAGCAAATCAAGTGCAAAATCAATCCATGAAAATAAATTTACTAATTTAATAAATTAAAATTAAATTAAAAATTTTTTTTAAAAAAATGCATATGTGAATGACCGTTGAGTAGGCAGGAGACAGACTTATCAAGGGAAGTTGCCTCCAAACCTAACTCTCCAATCATTCAATTCGTGTTTCGTCATTCATGCAGGCAAGGGTAAAAGTCAAAACCAATAAAGTGGTAATTAACATTTAAGAAGTTCAAAAAGGAAAATACTAATGAAGTCTTTTGAGAAAACAAGTCAAGAATTAAAACTAATTAAAAATAATAATAATAAAAAAAATAAAAAAAATCTAGAAACCAATGTATTTTAGAAACCCTTGTCTTGGGTGTGCACAATTATATATCTGAAAACAGTACTCAAAGGCCATACATCCAATTTTATTCACATAACATTTATTCACTAAAAATATGTAATGTATATATTGTATGTAAAGGAGTTGGTTGCGGTTAAAAAAAAAAAGTATGTAATGAAATTTTACAAATGTTGTACCTCTTGTGTAAGGAATCTGAGTGATAACAGCAAATCTATTCTTTACATATAGATCAAGTATAATTTATTAATTCTTTACCTATAGATTATGTATTTACATAGATCCTCAAACATGAAAGTTAAGATTAGTAAGCCACTTGTTATAATACAAAAACTGTTATTAGAAGAAAAAAACTTTTGAACAGTAATTTCAAATAGTTACATTTTTACTATTAAAAAATAAACACCACACAGAGATTTTTAATTGTTTGGAAAATAGTGAAACAGCACCCTTTCCAATTTGCAAGACAATGAATTTTTTTTCCGGATTCAAAATTATGATAATTTTCAATTCACTATCAAGTGAAAATGAAGTCATTTCATTTTGTTATGGAAGAGGAATTTTGCCCTCCACTTTAAACTGCCTGAACAGGCATAAATAAATACAATCTTTTCTTAATTTTGTATTTTGAAAAATTTTTATTATTTTGGGAAAAAAAAGGGGAATTTGTATTTTGGAAAATAAAGATTTTTTTTATAAATATATTTCTATTAAAATTACAATACTTATAGGCAGTTCCCCCCTTTTTCACATGGCACCTAAGCTTGGGCAAAATTTTTTTCCTTACTGCTTTGGTTCCTAGTAAAACAGACTCCTCTTATTCGCGCGACTAACTGCAATTAAGAAGTACAACATTTAAAAAAAATAAAACAAAATTAATTAATTAATTAAAAAAATAAAACATTAACCATTTTTTTAAAACTTTATAAAGTACACAATGTATTTACTTCCACATTTCTCTTCTCCATACATTCCCCTTTCCTATCCTTTTCAGGATATGATTAAAAACTTGATACTTATGGTAACAACATATAATGTATTTATAAGTAGTAAAATGCAATGCATTAAGTGTGCATTTAAAACTTTCTACTCCACTTTCTTCAAAAATGATATACAGTCAAAAGTCGTTAATCCGGACTCGTCGGGACTTCGGCGATTCCGGATTATAGATCATCAGTTTAAATCTCGTAAGATGGCATGCAGAAATTCTAAAATTAAAAATATGAAACCGTAATTTATGAAATAAAGAAAACTGATCTAAGGGTATAAAAAATTTGCAAAAAGAAAAGCTTAATATTGATTTGTTTACTTTATTAAACATTTCTTTCAATGTAAGGTGTTTAAGTTTTGCTTCGTTTCATGATAATACTTTCTCCTTAATTCTATTAAACAGACATAATTTCTTGTTCAGTACAAAGTTCCGCCGTTCAAGTCCTATAATTGCTGTGTCAAGAACACCGACTAATTTGTCAATCGAAATTTTTTGTTTTAATAACCTCTGTCACGTTTCTTCGCATCGGAAGCGAATTATAAGACGAGGAACTTGTTTTAAATCATATCAAAGACGGAGCATATCGAGATGAAATAACATTTGGTAAGGAATTATAAGCCAATAAAATAAAACATTGCGCTGAAGATAAGGATAGTGCTGACAAATCAAACTTCCAATTCATTACGCGCCCGCCGCCGAGCAGCGTGAAATGATAAACAGATTTCGGATTCAAAACATACTTTCGCTTAGATCCTTAAATATAACAAATATATATCGAAATTCTATTGATATAATCGAAGTTAAACTTACCTTTATAAAATTGCCTTACAGTCTGCAAAAAAAATAAGCCGGAGCAATTCGAAAAATTAAGAAAACGCAATCACAACATTAACTGAAATAGATAATTAGATATTTTAGCTTATACGTCCATTATACAAAAATGCGCACGCTAAAACGTATTCTGCACTTGCGCACACTCATATGCGCAGCGTAAAAGGACTTACGCGCACGCGTGAACGCCTCTGAGCATGTGTCAACGCGGCGCATGCGCAGAAAGTTTTTAGTTTTGATGTCCGGATTATAGATTATTCCGAATTATGGGTGTCCGAATTAACGACTTTTGACTGTATACTAATTTTCCCATCCAGAGTTTCAAGGATTAAAATCAATAATTCATGAAGAGGGGGAAGATATGCGAGTAAATATGGTATTATCACAACCACTAATATCCCTCTTATTTATTTTTTATAACACACTTACTCATAATACTTATATATCATACTGTAAAATAAAACAGATCCAATAACGTTTGAAAAATGCAGAATAAGAATGGCTTTTGTTTGGTTCATTTATTTTTATAATCAGTTTTGGCACTTAAACATTTTCCCATCAACAATGACAGCTGGAAATCTCCCCAAACACTCAATAGTCATTCTGGCAAAAGTTTGACAGAACAGATAGTCCTTATTTAGTTTGATAATCACACAATTAACAGATACAAGTTACAGATATATATATATATATATAATCCGTAAATTCATCAAAATATCCTTAAAGATGAATCTAACTGGTTGCTTGCAGTATTTTTTAATGCCAGGGTCTTTCAATGTTCTGAGTATGTGCACCAGTATAACCAGCACTGCAATTCTGAAAATATTCTGCTTGCTATTTTATGGAAGGTAGGTGAAAAACTGCAAATTCCCTCCTCAAAATATAAGATGAAAACAGTGAAATAGTTAAATTATATCCCTCCTTACAGAAAATAAACTGGCTTATTGAGGATCAAGATTGCATAAATCAAAGCCTGATTTAATGAAATTGTTGAGCATCACGGCTTTTCTATTACTGGTACTAATACTTCTTGGCAAAGTTTCGCCTGATTTAGGGAAATTGTAACTCAATTTTCAGTCATTTCTCAATCCCAATTATCCGGCCACTACTGAGCCTTATTCATATCAGATCCTTGAGTGTGTGTGTGATTATGGCAAAGCCAAGACAGCTATCTGCCTAAGAGAAGGGATGCCCTCGTGGAGGACTTTCTAAGGGAAACTGGCTTGTATACACATTACACATGAGGAAAACCACGAAAACGTGCATGCAGCCAGCCCGTTTGCAGAATTCGAACCTCGGAACGAACTACCCGTGTTCAGCGACTTTACCGCTCGGCCGCTGGTGAGCTTCAGATACTTGAAACTCCTCTTTATAATTTTTTTAACAAAAGTTTGCAAAATCGTTACAAAAATGTGTGAACATCATCTATATATATATTGGAAAACCCACTGTTTCCAAGTAATGCGACAAATAAAACTCCGGGTTGTGTGCTACATGAAAAACCTTTAATATACATAACACTAAGAAAAGAATATGTGTAAGTAGATAATATAGTAAGCATGGAAAATACAGTCAACTTTTGATTTTTTGGGTAAGAGGGATGAATTTCATGCTTAATGCAAAACCACAATTAATCTAAGAGAATAAAACAAACAAGCAAACCAATCAACCAACAAACCCATATACACAAACAGAGGCAAAGAGAAATAACTCAAATTATACCTACTAAAAAGTGTTATTAACTAATGACCAACATTCTCAAGCAGTTTAATCAAAAGAACAGAATAAATCATTAAACACTGGCCATCAAAATTAAAAGATAATGAGGTTAATTTTGCATAATTCCTTGTTAGGTTAATTTTGCAACTAGTGCTGTAATTATTTATCTTTATTAAATAAAACTGAACACAAAATTGCACTTCTGCACATAGGTAGCACTGGAAATATGCAAATCTTGTGACAATGAACGAACGTATGCTGGAATTCTGGTCTGTAGTTTTGTTTAAAGTTTCTGAGAGTGGTAAGTATTTAGTTGTCACGGCTCAAAGGAATCATTTCAGCGAAGATGAAAAATGGCAAATACAGTCAAAAGTCGTTAATTCGGACCTCAAAGCTACAACCTTTCTGCGCATGCGTCAGTTGCGTGCGCGTAAGACCTTTACGGCTGCGAATATGCATGTGCGCATGCGCATAATACGTTTACGCATGTGCGTTTAATCTTTAACGGACGGTATAAGCTAAGCTAAAATTATCTAATTCAGTTAATGTTGCAGATTGCGTTGTTCCTTAATCTTTGAATTGGACCCGGCTTATTATTTTTTGCAGACTGTTAGAGCAATTTTATAAAAGTAAGCTTGAACTTTCGATTATGTCAAATAGAATTTCCGATATATATTTACTAATAAGTAAAGGATCTACAAAGCGAAAGTATGTTTCGAAGTCCCTTAAACAGAAAGTGGAATTGCTTCAAAAAAAAAAAAAAAAAAAAAAAAGGATAAAGGCATATCCTTTGATTACCTAATCATTCCGAAATATGTTTATCAATTTCAAGCTGCTCTGCGGGGGGAGGGAAACGACGCGGAGTGCAATGAATTGGAAGT